GTTTGCCAGCGCGAGGCTAATGCTCCCCATAGGTTCAGAGTATCTATGCCCGAAACTGATTGCGTATTCAATCGCACTGTTTGCGTTGATCTCATGACCCTTGATGGAAAAACAGTGTTTCATGTCGTAGACAAAGATACAAAGTTTTATGCCGCATGCTTCCTTGTTGGAGAGTCTACAAAAGATGTATGGGACGTTTTCATGGACATATGGGTGTCTCGGTACGTTGGATTTCCTGACAAGATATCCGCTGACCAGGGACCACAATTCAAGTCTACTGAATGGAAGAATCTTCTTAATACTGCTGGGATCAAGGAACAACTTTCAGGCGTCGAGAGCCATAATGCTATTGGCGTGGGTGAAAGATACCACTCGTATCTAAGACGTGTTTACAACAAAGTACGTTCCGATAATTCTCAGACTCAGCCGAGGCTGGCACTTCAGCTGGCTGTTAAAGCTGTCAATGACACAGCTGGGCCTTCGGGACTCGTCCCCACGCTTCTAGTTTTTGGCATACTCCCCCGTCTTCCTATTACCCCTAAAGAACTCCCTGAACATGCCGCGAGGATGAAGGCTATGGACGTTGCTTGCAAGGAGATGGTTCAAATTTCAAGTCAAGCTAGACTGGAAACCGCTCTCCGCAGTAACGTGCCGTCTGCCGCTGACAAGTCTTACTCAGTTGGAGACGAGGTACTAATGTACCGTGAGAAACCTATTGGCAAGTGGGTTGGTCCATACGTCGTCAAAGATAAGGAAGGTAAGATGTTGACGCTAGACACTGGAGATCGGAGCATCCGGGCATCTATTGACAAATTGAAGAGATACAAAGTCAGTGATGGGGCTCTTGCGCAAACTGATAACGATCCTTCTGATCATATCTCTGATAATGCTGGAAAAACACCAAATGAAAATGTTATAGCTGAAGGTGACGATTTTTTGATGGATCATCCACTGGAAACTACGGTTGTGACAGATAGCTCTACGTCTCTTGAAAATGATCTCTTCGATGAAGAATTGCTCGATATCATGAAAGGAATACGCGAATCTGAGCTCAGTAGGCTCGATGAGAATACTCTCCACTCTATCGACCCCATAAGTCTTGGAGTTGCTTTCATCGGAATTCACATCACAGAGGTGTTGAAATCCGGAGACTTGCGTGGAAATTCAAATGGTTTCAGGAAAGCAAAGCTAGCTGAAATAAGGGGGCTGAAAGATCGAAATGTGTGGAAGGTAGTTCCCAAGTCATCTGTCCCAGCCGATGCAAATGTACTTGGCGGTCGATTTGTTCTTGCCATTAAGAACATAGGAACGGAGAACGAAAAGGAGAAGGCCAGATATGTCGCACAAGGTTACAAGGACAAAGATAAACCATATATGGTTCATGATATTCCAGCATTACGTGCTTCATCGATCAGACTTATACTATCTGTCGCGGCAATCAAAGGGTTCCGTGTCTTTTCACATGATGTGAATCAGGCATATACACAAAGCAAAGATAAGCTAAGTCGAAAGATATTCCTTTTACCAAAAAAGGAGGACCTGGAGTTAATTGGAATAACTGATGAAGAGCTCCTGGAGCTGTTAATTCCCTTATACGGTGTTTGTGACGCTGGTGACTACTGGGCTGTAACGTTGGAATTTCACGTCACAGAAGACTTGAGTATGACGCCTACCACTGGAGATCCTGCATTATATGTCAAGGTATCTGATGGTGAGACTGAAGGCGTAATGGGAATCTACGTCGACGACAACCTCAATGCAGGCAATGAGAAGTTTGAAAAGATAACTGCTGAAACACTCGAGAAGTTTGACGCAAAGCCGCGAGTATACGACAATTTCGATTTCTTTGGCACAATGATAACAACCACATCTCCAGGCGAGTTCTTTCTCTCACAAGAGAAGCACGCCAAAAGATTACCCATCGCTCCAAAGGGCTGCTCATTTGATCATTTTCGAAAGCATCGAGCAAAGCTTTCATGGATGGCACATTCCCGTCCTGATCTATGCTGCAGTATCAACAAAGCTGCCCAGGTGACAGAAGATACAATGTCCGATGACAAAGTCAAGGCATTTAATCATGCAGTGAAGATTGCTAAAGGCAGCGATGTTAAGGGGCTTCGATTCGGGAAACTTGACGTTGACACGCTCGTTCTGAAGTGCTACGCGGATGCAGCTTTTGCAACAAACGATGATCTATCATCTCAACTTGGATACATTATATTGATTTGCGACATGAACGCTCAATGCCATATTCTGGATTACTCGAGCAAGAAGTCCAAAAGAGTTGTACGATCCATCATGGGTGGCGAAGTTTATTCGCTTGTGGATGGTTTTGACACTGCCTTTGTAATTCGGAATGACCTGGAACTTCTGCTAGGAACTAAGATTCAGCTACATTGCTTTACAGATTCGAAGCAGCTGTTTGACTCAGTCACAAAAGGCAGACAGACAACCGAAAAGAGGCTAATGATAGACATCGCTGGGGCGCGAGACGCATACAAATCCTTTGATATTACTCAAATTGGCCTCGTGTGCACAGATCTTAATCCTGCCGATGGTTTATCGAAAGTTAAGGACAATGGAGCACTGTCAAAGCTGCTATTCACTGGTATTGATCACTGTGAAGTGGAGCAGTGGATCACGCGCAATGAATCAAGCTCGCTATATGAAGAAGTGGGAGTGTAATGGTGACGGGGTAGGAATGCACTCTCACATTCTTGACAATAGATGTCTAGAATATCGTGCTCGCTTGGTTCCGTTTAGTCTTTTATTTGAGTTTATTTTCAGGCGATTCAATCAACTTCTACTACCGCCGACGGACAGCGCCAAAGGAAGAAACAGGCCGGTCGAAGGCCTGTAGCGAACAGAGTCTCACAGTGTACGACAAAAGCTACTCAGAAATCTCAATTGGAAATCTCGCTCGGAAATGAAGTGCATCAATCAATGGTAGCGTGACTTTTCTCTGTAACCGCGGCTGTAATTGGATTAACAGGAACCATCAATACAAAGTGCGACCTGTTGTTGACTTGCCTGCCCCTAATGATGATTTGAGTTTGTTACATGCTCGCCTCTATCCCATGAGATTTGGCAGCGTCTATCCTCACGTGTTTTGCAGTTAGAGCCGAATATGTCCGCATTTCTGCGAGGCAGCCAGCAAGAATTATCACTTCCGATACAACAATGTCACAGAGAGCGAAACGGTTTTGCGTTATCTGAGCACAGCCGCACACTGCTACCCGGAAACAGAGACAAGTTCTCGAGTACAAATCCGGCCGTGGGCAAATGAAAGACAGAGGGGGCCGATGGGAAAAGCCTGACCACCTGTCGCTGCTTCTGATAGGTTGTCTTGAGTCTCCCTGTCGCGGTCCGGAGCTTACCTTCCAGGGGAAAATGACGGGGATTAATCAAGAGCGTGCGTCTATCTTCTGTTTTTACTTTATGACTCGTGCAATGAACGAAGGGCAACAAAGCGATACGCTCCTCGTTTCACGCAAATGCGTTGCTTCCGGGTTCCCCTCCTTGGTTCAATCTCAGCCATAAGAATCAATATTCCCAATCTAATGCCTTGTTAGAGACGCCTAAATGAAGTCTCTCCTCGACAGCGCTTGCTTCTTCATAAAGAATATCTCCTGCTTCTGCAGGAAGCACAACTTGTGATGTATTTCACGAAAAGCAATCTTAAAATACGACTAACACGTCGCCATAATAACAGTTTTTAAGTAGTGCCAGACAAACAACTTTGAAGCATTTTCGTCACTTTTAGAGGAGTATTCAAGAGAAAGCCGAATCTGTTCGCAGATTGTTTTACTTTCGTAGTCTTTCGCTTTCGTGAGTTTAACATTTAGGCTACAAAAAAGAATAGCGACTCTGCACTGCATCTCTGGTAGCAATGATGGTGTCCGGTGTGTCCTATTATTTGCCGTCTAAAAGAGATTCTGGATCCCTTACGCATAACATTTCGACCACAGATGAACGCGATACCGCCTTATTCACAGTTGAGGTGTCGTGACATAGCCCGTCACAACTGCCCGTTAATATTAATTTATATAATTGCGTGAAAGGAAAACAGGTGGGCCAAGGAATGAGCGGCTGCCGTTTCATTTGTCCTATATGTATGATAAAACCATGATCAACAAATACGAACCGATGACGTATGAGTACTTTGCTTTCGAGCTAATTATTGGCCGAGTGCATATCCCGATCAGCCAATAAACGCAGAACACGGGCCGCACTTCATGAACTGGCGGCGGATAATGCATGTTCAAATCATACAAATGTGACGCTTCGCCCTTCTCGAGTTGCAGTCTCGCGCAAACTGTAGCTCTTTTGAAGACAAAATGTCAAGTGTGCGCGACGTTCCCCCAGAAAATCAAAATCAAAAAAAATTTGAGCTGTGCCTTATGTGCTCGACACATCTCCACCAGACACACAACACTTTTGACCCCAAACCTTAGGGACGAGGTCAAAGGATTCACTCCAACACCAATGGTGTGTGTCGGTCGCACTGGGCTGAGAAAGAAACCAACGCATACCTTTATTTTGCCCCACGAAAGGCTTCCACGCTACATATAAAGAATTAACGAGCAACTCGCAGTTTACGTGCCGCTTCCCATCTTTTTCTCTGCTGCACTCCACACAGTTCTCGCTCGGTTTATAGGCGCGAGGAAGCATTCTTCTTTCTATTAGAGTGCTTCGTGCCCTTCGTTGGAGACAGGCCATTGCTCTGCGTGTCTGCACTTTTGTCCTTTGTCGCAAATACGACCATCTTTACCGCGACTTGCACGCCTTCTAACATCTTTGCATCCATTCATATACTAGAAACCCGGCATCCACTCATTTGTCTGCATCTTGTCGATATCTTCGGGCCATTTCTGAGAGGAAAAAGGCGACGCCTACTACCTCCTTCACACCCCTATCTATCGGGCCACTTAGTAGAGGGGGCCTACCCGCAGCCTGGTGATCAACTCTAACGAGTGTATACTCCTCTCCTTTCCTCCAAGATGACAATTGCTACTCGTACTGAAACGCGCCCGCAGGCCTACGCCCATACTCCTACTCGCTCAAGCCAGAAACCTCCGAGCCTCATGAAGCGTGTTTGCATTGTCGGAGCTGGAAATTGGGGCTCAGCTGCTTCCATGATCATCGCACGAAACATGAAGCGCTATGATCACTTCGAGAACACTGTCAACATGTGGGTGTACGAAGAGATGATTGACGGTCGGAAGCTCACTGAAATCATCAACACAGAGCACAGAAACGTCAAGTACCTCCCTGACCATGAGCTCCCAGAAAACGTTGTCGCCGTCCCGGAACTTCTGGACGCTGTCTGTGATTGCAATGTTCTTGTCTTCGTTCTCCCGCATCAGTTTCTCCACAGAACATGCAAGACGCTCAAGGGGAGGCTTCCTCCAGACACTATTGCTATATCTCTGATCAAGGGCATTGACTTCAACGAGGAAGGCGTTGTGCTGATGACTGATATGATCAAAAACGAGCTGGACATAGATGTTTCTGTTCTAAGTGGTGCTAACATTGCTAATGAGATTGCCGCGGGCAAATTCTGTGAGTCTACAATTGGCTATGCAGATGAAGAGAACGCGACGACGTTCTACGAGATGTTCAACGAGAAGAATTTCCGAATTTCCATTGTGAACGATATCGAGTCAGTTCAGGTCTTCGGTGCGATCAAGAACGTGATTGCGCTGGGTGCAGGTTTTTGTGATGCTTTGGAGATGGGGAATAATACCAAGGCTGCTCTCATTCGCATCGGCCTTTTAGAGATACAACGTTTCGCCAGGAAGTATTTCGGTCCCATCAACGACGCTGCTATGTTGGAGTCATGCGGTCTTGCTGATCTCATCACGACTTGCCTCGGAGGGCGTAATCGTCGGTGTGCCGAGGCATTTGGCAGAGCAGATGGAAAGCGCTCATGGGAGGAACTAGAGGCAGAAATGCTAAATGGACAGAAGTTGCAGGGTACCAGCACTTGTCTTGAGGTTATGAAGATTCTCAAGAGAGACAATGCCGTTGGCGACTTTCCGTTCATGGAGCTCATACACAACGTTGCATACGAAGGTGCTCCTATATCAACGATCGTGGACTTCCCGGACGAGCATGCTCCTGCGTAATACTTTATAGAAGACTTTGCGACGATTCCAAGCAGGCTTCCTTTCCTCGTAAAAGATCTCGATTTGTCTACCTCGGAGTATCATGCCGATACCTGGCATTAAGAATATAAGGAGCGTCTCGTACTAGGACTACACTGAAAGGCAGACTGACACAAACGCCTCAATGCTCAGAAGGTATCAATTCTACATCCACGACATGTTAAGTTAGTTTGATATCGCGCTTATAAAGTTAGGCCTATGGCTACAACTTCGCCTGTGACCTAGTATGTGCATGTACAATGTCTCGACGTCCGATGTGTTATACATGGATAACTGCGTACAGTGTATTGCTTCGCCGCCTCAATTTTCTGCTACTGAGTAGGGCGTATATAGATATTTGATAGATTCCATGTTGATCCATTCCAAAAGTAACAATACATTACGAAGACGACTAGTTCTTACGCAATCACAAAATCGCGCGTACTTCTTCACCGCACACTATCTGTTTCGGAGTCTTCGACACTTCTTGCTGGTTTCTTCTTTTGTTCTTCTTTTGATGTGACAACTTCAGCAGGTTCATAAATGTCCTCACTCGGTAATACTGGGCTCTCCGCAGGTTCGTAGATATCCTCTTCGGCGCTTAGGTTCTTAACGATCGTCGATACTTCCTCTGAGGGTGCGTCTCCTTGAGTGGATACAGAGATCTCATCAAGAGCGCTTGTTTCTTCTTCTTCTTCATCGTCATCCATTGGTTCTTCGCCGTCACCGTCCGCCCGAGACGCTGGCTTGGGTTTGCCCGTCTTTTCTAAGCCTCCAAATTGCCTGAAGGTTGAGCCCAACGATGTCGTAAGACTGTCTGCTATTCCCAGCTCTGTGACATTCTCTGCTCTTGCCTCCTCAATCAAAGAATTGACTTCATCCAGCGGCGTTCCGTAGTCGAGCAAAACTGCTCCACCGAGCAGTAAAGAAGCTTCCAATAGCTCTGGCACGATAGCGGTGGCTCCAGCTGCCTGCAGGAGCTTCTGGTGTTTGCCGTCGCGGGCTCGGCAGAAAACTTGAATATCTTCGAACTCGCGGCGGATGTTTTGGACGACTCGAAGAGCTTGCTCTGGTTCATCCAAGGTTACGACAATCGCTCGAGCGCGCTCGATGCCCGCAGACCGTAGGACCTCCGGATGGCAAGCGTCCCCGAAGAACACTGGCAAACCTTTGTTTCGGGCATCGATAACTCGAGTTGGTGACATATCAAATGCCATGTATCGTACGAGTTTGGCGTCCAGCATCTCACACACGGATTGTCCCACTCGGCCCCATCCAGCAACCATAACAAAGTCTCGCGCATCTGCAGTATCTGCGTCTTCCATTCTCACACCGATGAGCCCTCGCTTCTTTTCAAGGCTAGATGAAATTCGTCTTCCGATATCGGCCAAGAACGGAGTCATGGCCATCGACAGTGCGACTACGAGCAATAAAAGTTGTGAAAGGTCAGCAGGCAGCACACCTACACGCTGAGCCAGCCCAAAGATAACAAAGGCAAACTCGCCACCTTGTGAGAGCAGCAGTCCTGTTCTCAAAGCCGAACCTATACTAAGCCCGAATCCAACACCGGCTGCCGCAATAACACCAGCCTTTATCGCAAGGAGTCCTGTCACAAGCGATACCACAGTTCCGATGTTTGTCCACGCAAGATGCAAATCTATTGAAAAGCCGACTGTGATGAAAAAGAGTCCGAGCAGCAACCCCCGAAAGGGCTTGATATCGGCCTCAACCTGATGCCTGAACTTAGTCTCCGCGAGCATCACTCCAGCCAAAAACGCTCCGAGGGTATCACTCAGACCCAGCACTTGAGTAAGAGATGAGGTACCAAGAACTGTAAGCAAAATCACGGCAATGAATGCCTCCGGGCTCTTCGCGCGAGCGACAAAGCGGAATACGGGTTGAAGCAGATTCTTCCCCATCAAAAAAATAGCCGCCAGGGCAACTGCGGCCTTCACAGACGCAATAGAAATGGCGCGTCCAACTGCTGCGGCTCCCCCAGATCCTGCTAGAAGTGGGGTGAGGACAAGGACTGGGACGACAACCAGATCTTGGAAGAGTAGGATCCCGAAAGCGGCACGTCCAAAACGAGTGCCGACCTCTCCACGTTCGCCAAGGAGCTGTAGGACAAAGGCGCTGGATGACAATGCCAGGCCTGCACCGATTACGATTGCCGCCTGGATGTTGATACCCGCCATGACCGTCGCAGCGGTGATGAGGGCACCGGTGACAAAAAATTGGGAAGTTCCCAAGCCAAACACATCAGCACCGAGAGACTTGAGCTTGCTCGTGGACAGCTCAAGACCCATTTCAAACAAGAAAAAAACGACTCCTAGTTCCGCCAAAGCCTTACTGGTTCCGACATCCCTTACCAGGGCAAATCCATTCGGTCCCAAGGCAATACCGGCAGCAAGAAAGCCCAAAATCGGGGAGATACCGAAACGACGCGTGAGTGGAATGATGACGACGGTGGTGAACAAAAGAACAAGAGCGTCATTGACAGCTGCCTGATGGCTGTCGTGATTGTCGTCGCTGTCTTGCGATCCCAATACATGGACAAGGGCCTCGCGCAGGCGGTCAGCACGGAGACGGACGGCGTCCACATTCTCACGAACGATGTCAGCGGGGGTCTTTGGGGCAGGTAGTTGCTTTGATTTGCGAACGGCGACGGCTGTGGCCAGGGAACGAGACGATGCATGGCGCGCGTGAGGGGACTGAAACTGAATGGTGGTGGGTGGAGGAGTCAAGGTCGAGGACTCGGCAGCAGAGACTCGGTTAGGTCTTTGAAGAAGAGTGGCGGCGACAGCGGCGGCGGCCAGAGCTCGACGCCATGGAGATGGAGGAGGATCTGGTTTGGATTGCGGAGATGCGCATCGGCAGGACGACAGGGATGCGGTTGAATATGGACGAGGTTGCGGATGGAAAGGACGTTTGCTTGAGGTGCTCGAAGAGATGTGGGGGCGGCGGTGGTTGTGATGCTGTATCGGGGAGGAGACGGCGAAGGCCGCTGAAACGTAGGCAGACGAGGCCATGATGCGGCAGTTTGCGACGGGGAAGTTTGTGGAAGCGGAAAAAGAAAGCAACGGTTCAGGTGCAGAGGGGGGAGATCAAAGGTGGGGGGGGGGGGATAGAAAGTTATGGAATAGTAGGCGTGCGGTAATGGGACATGGAGAGATGCGAAGGAGGCGGAGCAGTGGAACGGTGTTCCGAGTTCGGTGGCGTATGTTGGACGGCGTAGCACGATAGGATGGCGGCACACCGTTATTAGATGCCTGTAGCCGTAAACGAATTCGAAGCGCCTCCCGCGCGGCGTTCCACATCGGCCACCGGGTGCCGTGTGACTAATCTCCCGATCAAAAATGCCCAACAACTCACACTCAATCTGACACGTCCCACATGAGCACACGTTTCAAGTTCTCCACGTCGAACACGTGTGTGTAGACGTGACATCAGCAACTCAGGCCATCCAATCAAGAAAGCCTATCTATCGGCAGCGTGACCTTCTTGTGGCCGAAGCTGGAGTTTCGTGTCACCCGCTGCTCAGGAAATCCATTCGCTGCTCGTGTCCTTCAACGCAAATTTCCACGTCAAGTTTCGCCCCCACCCCCGCGTCGCGCTCCTTTGACTACTTTGCGTTGCCCGAGGCCCCAACTCTCCCCGTCAAGCTCACTGAAACGCCGCGCATTGCCTTCCGGCGTCGCTTGACCTTCCTGTCGCTCTCCGCGTAGCGGTCGATGACTTCGCCACGGCGTCTCGCGCAGTCGGACTCACTGCCGAAGCCACAAGCGAAGCGTCCCCGCACGCTATCCATTCACTCTGCCACCTTGCCGCCCTCAGCTCGTTCACACGTCGCTATGGACCGCCGCACCCCGCGTTCCGCCACCGCTCCAACAGCTCGAAGGCTTGTAATCCGCCCGTACAAGGAGCCACCTAAGGCTCCCGATGATCTCTTCCGCACCGCTTGGGACACCCAGCTTCATCCTGCCGTTCTTGCAGTCTACAAGTCCGCACCGGTGCCTTTTTCGCTTGAGGAGCTCTATGGAAAGGTCAAGGATGCTTGCTTGCACAAGCATGCACCCGAATTGTATACTGAACTACGCGCAGCATGCGATCGCCAGGTTGCCAGGCAAATAGCCCAGCTATGTGGCGGCACCGTCGAAGTGGATGCATTTTTGCGGGCTGTTGATACCGTTTGGCGCCGCTACTGCACTCACATGCTTCGCATCCGCGCCATCTTCCTCCACCTTGATCGGACCTACATCATTCAAGGAGGAAACCCTGATGCCAAATCCTTTTGGGACATGGGACTTCACATTTTCCGCGTTCACTTTTCCTCGGCCCATGCTGTCCAGGACAGAACAGTTAAGAGTTTGTTAGAAATCATCGACCGTGATCGTGACGGCGAGTCCGTTGACACGTCCGTGTTGAAGAGTTTGCTTTCCATGTTTACCGCTATTGGCACATATGAAAAGGCCTTTGAGAACCCGTTTCTTGCCTCCACCGACCAATATTACAGGAAAGAGTCGGAGAAACTCATTTCAGAGTCTGATATTCCTACCTATCTCATTCATGCAGAACGCCGTATGCGTGAAGAGTCAAACCGCGCCATAAGCAATTTTGGCGCACGTACATGTGCCCCTCTCATCATGACTATAGAGAAAAGACTTGTCACCGATCATGTTGAACTAATTCTGAACAAGGGATTTAGCGCTATGTGTGACGAAGGCCGAAATGATGACATCAAGCGTTGCTATGACGTCCTCTCTCGGGCGAACGCGCACATGCCAAAGGACTCTCTCGATGCACATGAGATGATGAAGGCGAGAGTTATCGCTTACGTTAAAGGGGTTGGTCGTTTCATTGTGATGGACCGCGAAAAGGACTCGCAGATGGTACAATCTCTTCTCGATCTCAAATCACGTCTCGATGAGCTTGTGCAATACTCGTTCAATGGGTCAGACACTTTCCACAATGCCGTCAACTTGGCCTTTGAGTTCTTTGTCAATGCGAGAGAGAACAAGCCTGCGGAGCTAATAGCCAAATTCGTGGACGGAATTCTCCGGACCGGAAACAGGGGCTTTTCCGAGGAGGAGCTCGAGACCACCCTGGACAAGGCACTGACTCTTTTCCGTTTCATTGATGGCAAAGATATCTTTGAAGAGTTCTACAAAAAGGACCTGGCAAAGCGGTTACTGTACGACAAATCTGCCAGCTTGGATCTGGAGAAGAGCATGATATCAAAATTGAAGGCAGAATGTGGTGCGCAGTTCACTTCCAAGCTGGAAGCCATGTTCAGGGATGTAGATGCTAGCAAGGACCTTATGCAGAGCTTCAAGACTCATGCTGCGTCCAGAAAACGGCTTGGTGATTCTGTTGAACTAAACGTGTTTGTGCTAGAGGCTGCAAGATGGCCTTTAAGTAGCCAGGTAACGAACGTCAAGCTTCCGCAGAGCTTGATTGGATATCAACAAACTTTTAAGAGTTTTTACCTCACCAAGCATAGCGGGCGAAAGCTCTCATGGCAGCACGTGGACGGTTCCTGTGTGGTCAGTGCACATTTTCCGAAAGGGAGGAAGATTTTAAACCTGTCGCTGTACCAAACGATAATCACGGTGTTATTCAACGATTCTGATGAGATTTCATACCAGGACATTGAACAAGCAACAGGTATCCCTAAACAAGATCTTAAGCGGACTCTTCTGTCGCTTGCATGCGGAAGAGTTCGAATTCTTCAAAAAAGACCAAAGGGAAGAGCAGTGGATAGCAGCGATTGTTTTGTTTTTAACAAAATGTTCGAACACAGATCGACACGAATCAAGATCAACGCAATCCAAATGAAGGAGACTGTAGAACAGAATGCGGCAACTACAGAGCGTGTATTCCAAGAAAGAAACTGCCAGATTGACGCGGCGCTCGTTCGAATCATGAAGACCAGGAGGACTCTTCACCACACGGCGTTAATAGGAGAGATCTACAGCCAGCTTCGTTTTCCGCACAAACCAGCCGACATCAAGAAGCGAGTAGAATCTCTCATCGAGCGCGAATACTTGGAACGCGACGAAAAGAACGCTCAAACGTATCATTACTTAGCGTAAAGATGGGACTAGAGACGAAAAAATGGTAGGGGTGCGATACATGAAATACATGAAGGGCTTTGACACACACAGCGCTTGGACGATGCTAGGTTGTTGAAGCTGGAATATGCAATGCGCGGCCGCAGGCAGCATTTCGGATGATGCTTAGATGTCAAACTCCAACGGTGCCTCCTCCTATACTGTACGTACAGTAGCAGGAGGTACCGTTTGAACGTAAGGGACATACAGTACTGTAGTTGCGATGCCTGTGATGATGCGCGCAACTTTTTTGCTATAGTGCGAACAAGATTGAGACCTGTTGGTGTACGATAGATGGCTGTCACAACGACTCTTGGACGTATTGCCAATTTTAAAAACTAAGTTTCACAACAACAGCCTCCCAGCCTCAAAAAACTGTGCTCGGGGCTCCTCTCATGATGAACTGTATGATAATGCAGTTTGGCTGTTGCTCTCCGACGAGAACCAGCAAGCGGGCCCCAGCAGGAACTCCTTTTCGTTGCGGTTACCAATATACGGTAGGTTGATGCACTGCACGTTACGAAGAGAGTCATGTAGCAGGCAACGATGACATGCCTTCGACGTGTGCTGCATTGCGTGATATGCGAGCGATCCTGACACCAAGAAGGCAGAGGCAATTTGCTGTACCGTTCTGCGAATACTGTATGAAGGAATATGAACGAGATAGCGGGTTCACAGATGGTGTGTTTCGCTTTTGGCCCATGTTGTGCCGTCGAGTTAACGGCAAGTGCACCCTCCGCGGATAGGCGGATCAATCATGGCGGATGAGATATGGTAAACTTTATGCGCGGCGACGTCATAATGAGAAGTTGCAAATGGTGGCGTCATCCAAGATGTGCAAATCCGCGAGGGCTTGTTGGGTGAGCGCCTACGCGCCACGGTCTTGTCGCGCCTGAAGGCTCCAAGCGCGATTGCTCGGACCTCGCTCCAAGCGCGATCGCATAACTACGTGGCGTGGGTACCACTATACTGTATGTACAGTACTTACCCTGCGTGGCATCCAGATCATGAGAAGGCCCTGATTTCCACTTGTATTTCTCGATACTGCATCAACATAATTTTCTCAATAATATTTGTGGTGTCGACTTCAGTTACCCTTCGAAGGGTACGTTTCTTTGAAATTGACATTTGACTAAGCAAGCGTAAATATCATGCAGCGGTGGCACTCCAAACTTTGGAGTCTAAAGGCGCCGAAATGTAATCCCCAGCAGAACGGCCGAACGGGAAGACAAGAGAAATACGAAGCACCGAGATACCAAGGGCGAGGTATGGGTCCTGAAGGCCACGGCGCGCAGAGCGCGGGACTGTACAATACGGAAACCAGAATGTGAAAACCAAGCGGAATAATACTTTTATTAGAAACTGTGCAGTGCACTACTGTACAGCATACTGTACCCTTGGTACTGTACCATAGTACTGTACAGTGCTACTACTGTATGGTAAAGATATCCCATACACAGTATCTTTACTCTTAAAAGAGCATCGGGCCGTTGCAATCAACAGCTCTGTACGAGATTCGATTCTCGCGAAACCTCCACACAGCAACCGCAATTTCCGCCCGTTCTCCACGCGGCAGTCGCAGAGCGTCATGTAATTCCGGTCAGCACAGTACGTGCGAGGAATTCGAGGGCCCCCGGAGGCCCCGATGGTGAACTCCCGCCATCCGGGTGGAGGGGGCGTCGGCGCGGTCCCCCAAGTGGGACATGCGCACGCCGTAGACATAAACGCCCTACCAAATGGGGGGCGACACGAGGCAACGCGGGGGCATGCATGCCGCCTTGTTGCATCACACCTGTAATGCCTAGCGGCAAGCTATGCGCGTTTATTCGGGCCGCGCATGCACGGCATCCGCACGGCCCGAATAAACGCCCCCCCCGCCGCAGCGCCTCCGTCCTCTCCTTACCGGCGCCTCCTTAATTGGCCAGCCCTGCATAGCTGACACACCCGCCGCGTGGCTGTGAATTCAACCATCACCTTCATCTCACCCGCCGACACAAGTATTCCCCGCCCCCCCCCTCCCCCGAATCATATTTTTTGTCATGAGAGTCTACTAAATCTAACT